CAAATAAAGCTGCCTATCTAAATCTTAGGTTAGCAGCTTGGAGCCCCATTCTTCAGCTTAAGTGAAAGAGAAGCTAAAATATCCACTTCTTTGTTCTTTGCAAACTGAAATTTAGTACAAAAATCAAACACTGAGATGAAAAAATGGATTGTCAGTGTGTAATAGGTGTGACAAAGACCAAAGTACAGGAAAAATAATTTTGGGGATAAAACTCAAATTGGGGAGAGTGCAGCAAGGGCCATTTTCTATTTGGCTAGTTTTTAGGTGGGAAAGAATTATTTTTCTGCCAATTACAGGCATACTTATTATGCAAATAAAATTATATTTTAATTCTAATGAGATAAGAGAATTATTGGAGTGCAACTATTTATGTATATTTACTGTTTTAGCTGAAATGTTTTGTGTAAATCTTCTGGCAGAGTGATGGGGGAAATTCAGCACATCTCAATCGCAAAATCACTGAAAAAGTAGAAACCATCTGAGCCAAATCCAACCTGTGCTGCAAAGGGCAGTCCTGTGACAAATGGGACCTGCTGCAGTCTCACACTGCCTGATTTCATGTTCCTCATCTCTCCCTCCAGCAATGACACTCTAGCAGCTGGGTAGCTTTAGGCACTGGTGTGGCCACAGACAGGTAAAATAAGTGATGAGATCAGTTCTGTGATCCAGCCTGTTGTCACATCATGCAAGTCTGGAGCTGCAAAGGAGAGAGGCAGGAATATAAATGTAGGGATGGAGAAAAAGGTGAGATTGCAGAGCCCCCATTTAAATCAGACACAACAGGTCCACGAGATACGAATGAAGAAAATAGTACCTTGGTTGCTGAGTGGAAACAAGAAGGCTGCCTATTTGGAACGATCTATGCACAGAAAGGCAAGTGTTTGTGCTTATGGTTAATTTAGTCAATTATGCAGGGATAAATCTGCTACTTAAGAGGTGGGCTAAACTACTTTCCTGATTTTGTTGTGTATTTGTAGGTTTTTTATATTATCTAGTGGCAAGCTGAGCAGGTATAAGATGTTCTCTGTCTAGGATAAAAGGTGTTACAGCTAAACACATTCAGAAAGTGTGAATCCAGTTATTAGTTCTAGCTTAGTTTCATTCTGTGACCTTGTCTGGTGTTTCCCCTGTTTGTAAAACAAAAAACCCTAAAACACAAAAAAAGCTTCATGGCTGTGATGACAGACTAGGAGAGCTTTCTGTTAACACAGCGGTCATTAGCTGATTTTGCAGCAAGGACTCTGATCATGACACAGGATATGCCTTCTCTCCTCTGCAGACAAACCTGATATTTGGCTGGAAGCTCTACTCTTACAAAACTCTCTTTGATTCAGCAGAGACCATGGTCAGTCTTCAGCTGGGAATCTTCAACTATGAGGAGGTACACCTCTGATTTTGAGAAGTTTATCACTGTGTAATTAGCATCTCAGCTATCAAACATGCTTTGAACCAGCAAACAGAAAGACTTTCAATTAGTGCTAGACATTACTCTGATTTTGCAAGCTCCACAGCTTCCTAAAGCAGCCACCTTTTCTCACCAAGACACGAAAAAGACACCAAGTGAAATGTACCTCACATCTCATTTTGACCACCAGTACACTCCTAACGAACCTTTCATTGAGAAAAGTGCTCACATTTTAACTAGATATGTTACCGATTACAGAAAGTTTTGAGCAATTTCCTTAGAAAGCTACAGACAGAAATGTGAGCGATGCCCCGCATTTGTTCTGAACACACCCTCATCAGCTTCTCAATAAAGGCAAGGCCTTCCACAAGGGAACTTGACATTTGTTTTCATTGTTCTTGACTTTTTCATTAAGCTCTCTCAAATATTACAATATCCTTTGAAGAGCTCTTTGTGGATTAAGCTAGTTCTCAGACATGTCTGGTACTGAAGTCCTTCTTGGTGGATGCTTTTAGACCATGGATCCACCAGGCTATGGGTAGCTTTGGAGATCAGCAACTGGGCACAAAGTTTTTCACCTCTACGTCCCACTCCTGTTGTTAATAATGAAAATATATTCCTGCACTATAGCTTACATGAAAATTAGGTTTTTGGATTTTTACACAACCCTTTGTTGATATGTGTCCACGACAGTCTGACTGGGCTTCTTTATAAATACACTACTAAATAAAAGCATACAGAGATTTCATCTATAATTTGAAAGCTGAGGTGTGATGGAGCTTCAGCTGTTCTGTGGATAAACAGATCTCCAGGCTTGTCAACTTCCACAGGAAACTTGCATACCCTTACAAGCAAATGCAAACACTTCAAAAACCCCAAAGATTGCCCATATTCATATATCATAGATATAAAATATTCTGTCATCTCTGGACTGTATCACATCAGCATAGGAAAGTGACTACAGGAGAAAATTCATATATATATATATGTATAAAATAGATAGTATAATTTATTAGCCACAGGGATTTTCAGAGACAAACTCCTTATTGTATCTTAACTGCTTATATTGCATGTTTTTTGGGGTTTTTTTGTTTCTTTTTTTTTTTTTTTTTTTACAATCAAAATATGATGTCTTACCTTGTTAATACTACAGGTCTTGGAGTACAATCCAATTTTAGGCTCCTTCTTAATTGGATCCTGCATAATTTTCATGACCTTCGTGGTACTGAATCTGTTCATTTCGGTGATTCTGGTTGCTTTTACTGAGGAGCAGAAGCACTACCAGGTGTGTTCATCTAAGCTCTCCTGCCGTTTTTAATATTTATTGTGCAGTGCTTACTCATGATTTAGGTATTCTACCATTGGATGAAACCCACATAACTCAGTCCAACTCCTACGAAGTCAAAATTTACTCATAAAGCACAACAGACTGTCCAGATTTACGCTGCCCATTCCCGTTCAGACGAGTCCCTGTGCAGATTTAGTACAAGATCTGATTTGTAGCCTTCTGTCCACATGAATCCAGCAAAAGTCTAAGACTTGTGCCCCAGCTCCCTTGAAATCAGGGCCAAAACTGCTACCGACTCCGCGAGGACTTTACCCCTCCTTTAGAACATGTCTCTGTGCCTGACCATGTCAAGCTCTTGCTAGCACGGTGTGAAATCCAGCTTAGTACTCCCATACTGTCCAAAATCCCTCTACAGTGTAAAGCCAAGGGAGAAGCAAACAAAGGATATGGTCAATAGAAAACAAGATATATTTAGTTTTTCTCATCTACGTCATCTAGAAACGGTGGGTTGCATGTACGGGAGCTGGGAAGCGAATTCCTGTAGCAGGAGTCCCATGGGCTCCGACAGAGCCGAAATGTTCCCTGTGATGTCCGTGCTCACCCACGCTCACCTGGGACTCTTGTCCTGATAAAAGCACCGGCACGGCGCTTGGCTCTGGCAGTTAGGGGGGTCTGCTCCGGAGGGGGGGGGGGGGG